CTTGTTGTTCGGTTTCAAGGTAGTTTATTGCTAGCTATCTAAAAGATTGTCTTGCGCTGCGGCTGCTTTGGTTTGCGGCTCAGGCAGAGGTACACATTTTCTTGACACCCTCACTGTCCGGTGTCTTTGTTGTCTCTCTCTCCGCCCAAAGCTGCTACTATTTTTTATATGATATATTACGTACTATATGTTTATAGATTTTTCTCAATACCTACTATCTACGTTACAATGTGCTTTTCTACTCTAAACTAATTTGTGAATGCTAACATTACTAAGAACATGGAGGTAAGGAAGAAGAAGGAGGAAGAATAAGATAAGGACTACTTTCCTCTATCTTAGAACTCTTGACTCCTTTGTATAAAGTGAAAACCCCCCTGTACAGATACTAAAACCCCCCTGTATAACACTAAAAAATTTTACCCTCTAATTTGTGACTACTTTTACTATATTATCTAACATTTTGTGACTGCTTGTTCTACTCTTAAAGTTGGTAATTCATTCTATGGTTCAAACTTAAAATCACAGCTGTTTTCAGCTGCTTGCCAGGGTCTAAAATGCTTCTGACTAAGGCCTGGAACCTCTAAAAATGTCTGAGGGACATTTTGGGTTCCGACAGTGAAAAAAGGATTTTTTTTCCTTTTCAATGTCAAGAAATTTAGTTGTTGCATTGATTTGTTTTCTGAAAAGGTCTACTGTCATACTAGAATATTTAGTGGGAGATATCATAACAATAAATACTGTCTGCTGAATGTTCTCAATTACCTTGCCAACCAGGGAATCAGAGAGTATTCAGGGAACAATTAATCTGTTGATGCTGAAGTCAGATATGACAGTACAAAATATTTTAGTGTCTCCATGTTTATGTCTTATGACTGTGGAGACAACCCTTGACTGCAGAGCAAAGCTACTTTGGGCAATATTGTGTATGCTTTCATAGTCCCTCTTTGAGAAATCTCATTGCTGAGTTAAGAGGAGACTGACCAGTGAACTTCAATAACACATCTGAAAGTAATGAACTTATGCTAATGTATCCCACCTGCTAGAGAATTTTTCTAAAGTGGGTTAGTAGACATCACTGATAGATCTACTCCACGGCTGGAGCACATGTAGGATCTGTTACCGCAGGGTGTCCTAGAGAGTATTTCAGATAAGGTGCAGACAATGCACTTTCTCTATCACTAAAGTGTAGGCTGTGCCCCAAATGGTCCATATTTGTAATTTCTTTCTCTCTTATTTTTAATTTCCACCTCTTTTTCTTGCTCTTGAGAAAATATATCCTGTGTATAAATTAAAACCCTAGATTCTTTCATTCAGCTAAATGCAGAGAAGGACAGGGAGGTGAGCAAAGAAAAGAGAAAAAAAATTGTCTTATTTTGATGATGGTTCACGAAGAGACAGGAATCCATGTTGTTTCTAAGACCCTTACTATCAAAAATAAGAAGCAGGGGAAAATATGATTGACTGGAAATATTTGTTCTGGGTTTGTGACTATGCTATTCAAGTGTTTTTTCTAGTCGTAAATTAATATCAGACAGACCTTCAAGGCAAAAAGTATATTTATGTGGAAAAGTTGTAATGACTTGGGTTTATGACTTAGCTTCACATTTTACTTGGGATTCTTGCCTACACCTAATTTATATAACTTTCACACTTGAGAACTTTTTTATTTTGTCTCTGTGAAGAGATTGAGTGCATGATCAGGGTATGAATGTTGTCATCTCTCTGGTTTTATGTTTTCACATTAGTGAAGAAATTTCTCAAACTATCAATGAGAAATGTCAGAGATGCCAACACTGTAAGTCTGGAGTTGTTTTTCCCTGTTAATGACACTGTTGCTCCAGTGTCCTCCAAGGTTAAGCACCTTCATATGAATTTGACACTTTTCTTTAGTATAGTATATTAATTTGACTCAAAATGAAGAAAAGGGGACTATCACAAGTTCTTCTGAATCAGGGCCCTGAGTGAGAAACAGGGGAAGCCTTGTGGTTACTGAGAAGACCTACATTTTGAGGACCACTGAATTGTAATGGTAATTCTATTATACTGCATATTTTCAAGCTATATATTCAGAGGCCTTAACCCACTGCATGCTTTATAATCTGCAGAATGGGTTTTGTCCAAATGAGATAATAAAAAAATTTAGGTTAGGTAAGTGATAGATTGCTTTCTTTTAATTAAACTTCACTTATTCATACCTTAAAAAATGTTTAAAATATCTCTATATCCTTTTTAATTAAGTCAGGCCACTTATTACTCTAAGGAAGCAGTGAATTGAATGGCAAACCATAGTAATATTAATGTAAAGTAACAGGGACCGTGAGCCAGGACTGTGCCTTCATGGCAAAGGCAGCCAGTAGTATCTTCTGAGGAAAAGGATCATCAGACCACAGAGGGATGTGATCCTTTCCCTCTACTCAGTACTGGGGACAAATACCTGAAGTGCTGGGTCCAGTTCTGAGCTCCTCAGCAGAAGAAAAACATGGACATGCTGGTTTGAGTCCAGCAAAGGGACATAGAATCACAGAATTGGTAAGGTTAGAAAAAATGTTTAGGATCGTCAAGTCTGAGCACCAACCTAGTGATACCACCATGTACACCGATAAACCATGTCCTCAAGTTTTCTGAGTGCTTCCAGGAATGGTGACTACACCACTTCCTTGGGCAGTCTGTTCAAATTATTTACAACCCTTTCTATGAAGGACTGGATCCTGATGTCTAATTCAAACTGCTTCTGGAGTAACTTGAGGACATTTCCTCTTGTCCCATTAAGGTGTTTCTGTTTTTTACAATGGGTTCCTGGAACTGGAGCATCTTTTATATGAGAGTGATACAGCTGGGAGTGTTTCAGCCTGGAGAAGAGAAGACTCAGGAGTATCCCATCAACATATTTAAATACCTGATGGCAGAGAATGAAGATGAGGGAGCCAAGATGTCCTCACTTGTGCCCAGTGACAGCACAAAAAGCAATGGGTACCAAATAAAAAAAATTTAAAAAAAACCCAAAAAAAAAACCAAAAAAAAAAAAAAAACAACTGAGCACAAGGAGGCACTTTTCATATTGTGGAAGTGGTCAAACACTAAAAGAGAGCAGAGAAGTTGTGGGGTTTCTATCTTTGGAGAGACTCAATAGCTGCCTGGACACAGACCTGGGAAACTCACTCTAGCTCTGCTTGAGCAGAAGGTTACACCAAATGATCCTGAGATTTTCTTTCCAATCAGAATGATTCTGTGATTTTAGAGAGTGTTTTATATTAATTTATGCCTTATCTTCAACTTGCACTAAAACTTCTGACAAGTTGTCTCAGGCAGTTTCTTTTTAAATATATGTCATTAGGAATGTAGTGCTTGTAAGCCATCTGATGCAATGCAAAAAATCTGAGGATGTCTCAACATCTCAGGTTTTCTGAATGAGACAGTTTAAAATTAACTACCACTTTGAATTGCTAGTCACATTCACATCCCAGAAGAGATGGACAACTTTACTCTGCCAATGGAAGAAAAAAACATTGTCCCTCTAAAGAGACTATGCTTTACATGACTAAGATGACTAGAGAATCCTGGCCATTTGTGCAACTATTTCACGCAGATGATGCCAGTGTAGCTGATTTAAAATGCATTAAATGTGAAAAGTTGGAGAAACAAATACAGCATGAATATTAATTTCAATTCCTAATCATAATCAGGGGGAATCAAACCCAGTAACATAATTTTGGCTGAGTTCCACAAGTTTCTCTTTTTTTAGATCATCCTGTGAATTGAATATGCCAATAATGAAAACCAAAAAAATATGGCACCAGCACAGTGATTGAGAAGTGTCTCCTACCCCCAGACATTTAGCATATAGCAGCAGATAAGCATTTTCAAGGGAAGCAATCTCTATTTAACAGCCTGAGTTATGAATCTGAACAATATCTAGAACAATCTGTATTTTCATATGCAGCATACAAACTAATTTCTATTAGATTTAACAACATTTTCTTTTCTCAGGCTGAAATAAATGAACTTATTCTGTACATAGCACCATGGTAAAGATGCTTGTATCTCATCCAGCCTGGCTGAGAAGGGAGACACCCTACCTTGTGGGGCTCACAGCGATATGGTGTAACAAACCCTCCCTAGCAATGTTACTGGTGTGTGATGTCTGAAACAAATCTTGCATATGTTTGAACTAAGGCTTTAATTCTTTGAAACTCACAAGTCTGGTCCCCTACTCTCTGCTCATCCAGCAAGCCCAAGTATGTTCTTCCAGAGCCTTTTTACTCTTGGCAGCTAACCCATCCAACAGGGAAGTCATTATGGGACCCTGAAGTATTTCACCACCAAAATCTTCCTCGCTCAGCACCAGGGCCACCACAAGTGATATGGCAGAGCATCAGAGGCCAGGGAAAGAGCAAATGTTTCTGGAGCTGTGGTGCTATTAAGCCAGGGATGGGTGAAATTACTCATATGATTTCAGAAGGCAAATGAATGTTTATTCAAAAGCACCTCTCTCTTTTATAGACAGCATCATGAATATTAATTCTATTGGTCTTGAAGTAAAATCATTTCACTTGATTGGTACACTGGACTTAGGTCAGTGTGATAAAACATATCTATAACAATATGAACTGCAAACAAGAGAATAGATAGTTTACATTCCTCCTGGACTTTTTCCCAGGCTTAGCCTGGCAGAAATCTTTCTCTTTTCTTCTCTGACTGAACTGAGAATATCCACAGAGCTGGACAGTGAATGATGAAATTGAGAACATCAGCTTTGAGCATAGGGTCTCAAGTTCTATATGGTCATGTAAACCTGAATGCCTGAAGATGCCTGTTGGCAGCATCTTCTTCCTAGATCTATTTAGGATATTTTAGCAAGTATTTGTTTTAACCTCAGAATGCAACGCCACCTTATAAAAGCTTTCTGTAAGAGTTGCAGGTGGCTCCTGTATGTCTACTCCAGTTTAAAATGTCTTTTGTGGTTGCTATTCATCCTGTTTAATTACATTTTTAAATAGTAGTTTTATTTTTTTTCTGTGACAGGACTAGTTTTTATATGTAAGTGTCCTGGCCAGTCTGGAGTTAGGAAGGGGTCAGCAGGGGGTGAGCAATTGCATTGTGCACCACTTTTTCCCTCCTTTTTTATTGTTATTACTGTATTTTACTTTTTTCAATTATTAAACTGTTCTTATCTCAACATAATTATCTCAAAAGTTTTACTTTTATTCTAGTCCCCATTCCACCAGGATGGGGTGGGAGGAGTGGGGGGGCAAGTGAGCAGCTGTGTGGTGATTAATTTCCAGCTAGTCTTAAAATCATGAAAATAAGCTTATATATATTATAAAGACAGTTTAACAACTTTTTATATCAGATAATTAAAATAGCATGTTTTGAAAATGTTTAAACATTCCCCAATGAACAAAACCCTGTTAAATCTTCCTTGTGTACATAATTTTCTTCAAATTAGTATGCTTCATCTTTATTTTGAGAAAGAACAATTTTGAAACTTAAAAAAAATCTACAGAATGATTCTTGCCTTCCCCTTTCCCTTCTGGAAACCTTTAAGCATTATGTGAACTTTTGAACAAGTGAATGGAAGCCAACCACATTGATACATCCACTATGGTTTTTTATTCCCTTTTGTGCCCCCTGCAACAGGTTATGAAAGTGAGTTCCCAAAATGTTAACAATGTGTGGTGTGAAGAGGCAATTTGAGAAAGATGGTGTCAATGAACAACAGATTTGCACATCTGCTTCTTAGACCTCCATACAAACGCCTCCTCATACTGGAAAAGTACCCAGAATGCGTTACAGAGCCTCGTTTGAGTGACAGCATGAACACTATTGTTTTTTTTATTACTTCATGTTATACTAGAAATATTGCAAGAGTATTGTGACTCATCGTTTGTTACAGATGTTGATGTAGCTTTGCCTGTGCCTTTAGCTACGAATATTTCCTCCAGATGTCAAGATCTGCTGTGACAGGAAGCCAGCATGATTGTTTCAATACAGTCACAAATTCTCACAGACGTTAGCACCACAATGACACTGCGAAAGACTTAGTTGAGCTGTGGGATCTGGAGCTGCCAGTGGGAAGAAACAAGCTGGTAAAAGCTACGACTGACTGCAAATCTTACTGCAGACAGCTATACCCTGAGCACCTTCTCCCTCCACACATTTCCTCACATGCCTACACCATATGTCAAATGAGGCTCTGAGGTGATTAAAACAGCAATGCCCCAATGCACAAAGTAGACCAAAGTTACTGTTTCACAAACAGCTCCTGCAATCTTTTGCCTTGCCCTGAAAGAAAATAAGAGGCCCTTTATTTGAAGCAGATAATTTCACTCAGCTGCCCATTGTCATGTCTGTCTTTGTCATGTTTTTGTTTTAACTGTATTGTCACAGTTAATTTACATACCATTGACAAATATGAGTACTGAGAATTACTGGTCCCAGTGTCCATTACCATGCTTTTATCCTGTCAGTGTTATCTGCTGTCAAGTTTAGCAAATTCTCTGCCTTTGTGTAATCGCTTCATACTTATTCAGCCTCCTCATGATTTTGGCTGGGAACAACATCTTCACCAAAAAAGTTGGCCGTTTTTCCTAGCCAGTATCACTCCCTTTTGGCTAACACCATCTCAGTGCCACTCACTGATGCATGGACAGCAAGGTACCTTTGCTTACCATCTTCCCAGTTTCCTCTTTGGACAGAACTTTGTCTGTCACCACATACTTCATTTCCCCAACAGCCCCTAGTGAGCTACACTACAAAAGCTGCTGTAAATCCCAGGCAACATTTTAAACTCATTTCTATCTGTCTTAACTTACCATACCCACTATTTTACTTGGAAACACAGGGATCACATTTAAGGGAGTTATCCATCATTCTCTAAAGGAAAAGTTTGAACCTGTATTCACAATGGCAGTGAATCTTGGTGGTCAGTTTAAGTAGCTTCTTTTGAGAGGTGCAGTGCATTAAATTTGTTACCAGTGAGAACTTGTATGGCAAAACTCCTGTGTTCCTCCAGTTGGCCAAGTGTCTTGTGGTAGCTATGTATGGGCCCAAGTATTTGTTTTCTCATGACAAATGCCTTGCCTTATAATTTTTCTTCAAGTATTTTGTAACTCAGAGACAAATCATCCATACAGCATCTTTGAGGAGACCAGAATAAATCATCTGAGCCCTGAAATGCAGAGATTATCTGAACAGATCTTGCTGTCTGAGTGGCATAAAGATATTGGCCCTGTGCTGATATTCCAGGTGTGTTTATCCTCTTTCTATGAGGGTTCTTCAGAGCTCAGCAGCAGGTTGCATCTGCACATGTGTTGGGGTCCAGATGACTGAAACATTGGGAGAAGATGGTCTTGAGTCCAGGCTCAGGTCTGGTTTTGGCAAAAGTCCGCTCTCACAGTGAAGATAAAATAGTTGTAACAATAATGAACCCTATTGCAAAATCGTGATGGCTAGTTCGAAAACAATAAGCTCTTTCATCAAAACTAGAGACCTCTTTTGAATTTTTTTTTTATGCAACTGCACAGGTATTTATTATTTTTAGTCACTTTGACATTGAATTGAAACGGGCATCATCAAAACTGGTTTAATGTCATAATTATCTTGTTTTATGTTTTTCTTATGTGATTGTGATAATTAATTTACAGTTAAAGTTTTAAAAGTTTTTCTTTTATTGAATGCCTGATTTTCACACTCACAGGGAGATGGTTTTCCAGAATGTCTGTCTCAGCTCCTGCTGATGTTGAAATTTTCTAGTGGGGTTAGGAAAATCAAAATAAGAATGAGTCTGTCTCTGGGATAATTCAGAGTGCTCCCCTGGCTCCAGTAAAGGATGTAATTCAGTATTTGTCTTAGACTAATTTTCTTTAAAATCCAGGTGGACCTCAGATTTAGTGTTAAATAGCATTAGGTGTCAGAAAACTCTTTTTTTCCCAGGTTGGAGAAAGACAGCTTTAAAAGGGGTAAATAAGGGGAACACTACAAAACAGTGGAAACAGGAGCACATATGGCCATATACTGGGGAGGAAACCTGGGTTTGCATAGAGCTGTGACCTGAAACACTACTTTCAATAAGAATATTGTAGCCCAATTGAATTTTAAACACATAACATTTGTGACATATAAAAGAAAGGATTTTAGAGAGAAAAAAAATCCTCTCTGATCTCAGTTCAACTGAGAAATACTTATTTACATTCTTATTACAAATATAATTTACTATTAATTTAAAGGATGCTTTCAAAAAGACATAAGATATGTTGAAAAGTATACAATTAACTGACACAAAATGCAATTTCTTTCAGCCTCCCCTGAAATGTGCCATTTGTTACTGCAAACAGTAGAAAGCCTAGAGAGGAACCATTAAAGGATCCAGGCAGCTCTTCACTGCCATATAATCCTTTACACCTCATTAACCTCAATATCATTTACATAAACTGCTGAACTTTAACACTGCCTCCAATAAAATTTTCAAAATACATGTAAAGGTCAAGATAACAAATTACAAAACTATAAAATCAATTTCTTACTGAAAGGATACTCTGCCAATCATCTAATGGTAATTTGCTTGCCACGGGAAAAGAAAACGATTACATGAATGAAATTATCCTGTCCCTTAATTGTTCACTTACAGATTTTCATGCACTTTGTTTTTTCCTTCATGAAATGTTCCAGGAAAGCTGGCATATATTTTCTAGGTGTTGTGCAGTCTCCTTTACAACTTAACTTCATTGTTAGGTACTATCTGATGGAAGATGCCTCTTCCTTGGTAAGAAGTGAATGGAGGATTTTTATGAGCAAGTACTATAGACTGCGTGTCTTGGAATAGCACCCAGTTAGTGATATTCAAGCCAGAGTTCACCTGGTGGAAATATATTAATCTAAATAGCTTTCAGCAACACAGCTAAAAATAAAGTCTTCCAGTTTTTTTATAAGGTATTGTCATCGACACAGAATCTGGAGGAAAAAAAAGCAGCAAGATTTCTTGGTAGATTGTTTACCTCTCTATATGGTTCTTTCTGCATTGATTTGGAAATCCAAATCCTGTCATACGCAATTACAAAAGTAAATGTCAAGTTATCTTTAGAACTTTTCTGGAACATTGTGGGACCAGAAAAGAAAAGTGAACGTTTTTCAGGCTGCAGATTTTGCAAATATCAGAAGTTAAATTCTCAATAAGGTAATGACCTACTGTTTAGCCCATGTTTGTTGCTCAAAAATGTTGAAAAATAGGATTATATAATGAAATTTTAGACTCCACTGCCTAGTCAGGCTGTTTATTTGAACTGATATTTTGAGACAGTTTCTTAGGAATCAGCCTCCTGTTGTTTCCTGTTTGCATGCAGTATGACTCAGTCCTCATGCCAACTTGAAGCTTTTCTACTTAATTTGGAAAGTTCAGTATTAAGACTGCTCTTTTAAAAGGGCTGCATGTACCTTATAAACAATGCCTTCTTTATTTCTGAATTAGCACCAAACAAACTAGTGCCAAACCAGCTGCTGCTGCTGATGCTGGTGGATATTCTTGAGGCATCACTCTGTCCCATCCAAAAGAGTTACTTCCCACTGCACTAAAAGGACCTGGGTGGTTTGGCTGGGTGGAGAGTTCAGAGTCTGAAAAGTCATGGCCTAATCTGCCAGGAAAAGTGTCAATATTCTACTAAGTATATGGGCCTGTCTGACTGTTGAAGGACTCAATTTTTCTGCATTCTGGGCTTCCATAAATACTTTTGGCCCCACATGAAATGTTGGTCCTAAAAAAGTGAGGCATCCTACTCTTACTGCTTCCTGTAAGAGTTCCCACCAAGGCCTGAGAACACCTTGTTTTCAGTGAAGTGTTTGTCTTCGCTACGACTTTCATGCTGCCAAGTGGGGCTGAAAGAAGCCAAAGGGCTGGAAACAGACAGGGCAGAATCAGGAGTGAGACAGACTGACAGAGTTACACAGGAATTGTTTTTTTATAGCATGCATCTGTCTATAGGAGACAATTTATAAAATAATTGTACTAAAAACAAAGCAAGGTAAGTTGAAGTGGGCTAAGGCACCATAAAAACCTAACAGGTTCTTTGCATGTTTTGAAGGAAAAAATGCCAGGTTGCAGTAAGACACGATCTATTGAAAAATAATATGAAAGTATTTTACATGAAATTGAGTGTTCATTCATTTTACAGTGAGTTGAGTTTTAAATTGAAGGGAGTTTAAACTTTGTAAACAAAATTTTCCAATTAAAGAAGAAAGTTCTTTTATTTAAAATTTTCTCAGAGTAAGTTTTTTTTGTGCCTGTGTTTTGATCATCCTTATTCTGAATAATGTGGTGAAATTAAAGGAATTCATGAGGAAAATTATTAGAAAGATCTGAATTTCCAGATATATCAAATTAGAACTGCGTATCACTACTCTGTTCTCTGGGGAGACACTGTCTTATTCTGGAAGTAATGGTCTGCTAAACTACCTTTAGTGATGTTAAAAGCGGTGTCTTCACAAGCCTCAGTTTTCAATCAATTTTAAAAAATCCATTTGATATGCCTTTACTTTTGTTTTGTACTGTTTACCCAACACTGTCCTGCAATGGAACATGATACAGTCAATTACATCTGGAACCTAAATATTTCTATTAAAGTTTCTCTAAGGTTTTTATTATTAAATAAAGTTCATAAAGTTCATCAACAGAGGTACTGTTATCCCACACTTCATTTATTTATTCCAATAGTTGCCCTCAGACAGATCCTGTCTATTTCTGATCATCATTTTAACTTGTCATAGTGTCCATCATAATTTACTTTTCTACACTGTATGAAAAGAAGTGGGTATTTTTGTTTGGTTGTCTTTTTTGGGTTTTGGGGTTTTTATGGAGAAGCTAGCTTCATCATTCCATCAGGAATGTATCAATACTAAGACTTAAAAAAAATTTTTGTCTTAATATTTTCCAGTACAATGTTTCTATTTTCAAAATGCTGCCTTTGTTTTTTAGCTGGAGAAAAATACTTGCATGTGTTTCCCCTGAACAAAATTGAAAGCTCAGCCTGTTAAAACTTCAGAAGTTCAGGATTCTTTTGTCTTCTTATCTTAGAGCACTATCCTGCAAATAAATTCCTCTCCTCATTCCCAGCCCTCTGTGTTCTGCCCTTGTCACCTTGTCCCCTACTCTGACAACCAGAGCTTGGAAACATAGTATAAGACATTTTGCTATTGGTGACTTATTTAGTGAAGTAGAGGGAATTACAGATATAAGGAGAGCTGTGTTTTATAGTCCTTGTTTAATCTCCTTCCATAAAATGAGGTTGATGTTTCTTCAGATTAAACATAGGCCTTATAAGAAAAAGCATAAAAATGAGCAATCTAAATGTAAGTAAATAAAATTCAAAGTACACCAGCATCTAATTCAGACCACACATACTTTAACATCTTTTTCACGTACCTCAGATATGTGAATAATTAATTGAATCTCAACATTTTTACATATGCTTTATAAGCCCTTCTCCAGAATCAAAGGTATTTCTCCAGTGTGCTTCCTTAGCAGTTCAGATCTTGGAAAGGCAAACATGGAAATGATGAGGTTTTCTCTTACTAGGGCTTGTTGAGCTGCTGTCTGCTGTATGTGTGGCCTCAATAGCTGAGCAGGGTTTTCTGTCTGTTTTGTGCTTGCAGATAACATACACCCTAGTGAGCAGGCATGTCCAAAAATACAAAGAACATTGTCTTATTGTTGCACTGTTAATTTCATTCTTGATTAGAGTCTTGCAAAGGCTGTAAATCAGCACTAGAGACAATCAGAGCTTTCTTTCACTGCAGTCATTTCGCAGTGGTTTTAACTCTTCTTTAGTCTCCACGGTATGCAGGAGATAAAGATTTTTTGTTTTCGTTTTCTGTATGAGAACATAATGTTCCCCCTGTGTCTATCAGCTGTTGTGATAACCAGGGATTAATTAAAGAGTCACTTGTTGCTTCTTCTTATATGCCAAATAGCTTTAATCCCTAAAGTTCCAAAGTAATAAAGATAGCAATATCATCTTGCACACATGGGACAAGAAGAACAGTCCACCTCTGTTCTCATGTCATGTTAAACCACAGAAAATAATAAAATCATAACTTTGAAACTTCCCTTGTGAGCAGTAGTGGGTATAGAGATATACTGAAGATTCTCATTCTCCATGGCTTCTCCACAAGACTGTGGCTATGGAGGGCAAATGCTTTACTGCAGAGTGGCACACACCCAGCAGAAAATCTGGCCTCAGCAGCAAAACAAAGATCAGTGATCAGCAATTCCAAGTAGCTTCTCTTGGAAAGAAGTCATGCATTTTTCAGCCAGCAGAAAGAATGCAATCCTACAATAAAAGAAAAAATAAAATTAACAAACACACAAACAAAACAAAACAAAAACCAAATTAAAAACAACAACAAAGGAAACAAACAAAGAAGCAGAAAAAATCCCCATCAAACCTGCTGAAAATTGTTAAAGACATAGATTTCTGAACCTTGGATGAACAAGTGGCAGACTGGCAGTTTGATCTTTTCACTGTGGTCATGTATGCACAGTGTGTAAACTTCTTTCTTCGTCATGCTACATGAAGGTACCACCTTTATGTAAAAGGCAGGACACCTCAGGGCATAATTGAGCTGTCTCAAGAGTTATTCTAACCTGAGTTCAGATCACATACTGGATGTGGCACAGCTGTGGCTTTCCTGTCTTCTCTCAGTCATGGGAATAAGAGAGCAGCCAACATGTTAGAAAGAAGCTTTGGCACCCCGGTTCCCTGATCTAGGCACCTGTGTGGCTGAATCTCCATGCAGCACCTCAAAGTACAGATGCCTGTACAGAGTACATACAGATGTACCCTGAGTCTTCAAGACCCAGAATTTCTTAACTTGTGGTCTGGAGACTACTAGAAAAACTATGATTCAACAAATGCAAGACACTAAGCAGAAGCAAAGGAAAAAAGTTAAAATTCTGCAAACACATCATCTTTCCATTGGTTTAAAAGCAATTCACAGGACCCTGGAGAATCTTGTGCTTGCAGAGCTGACCTCCTTCAGGTATGATGACACAGCATTGCAGAGTGCTGTGTAGGCAAATCTTTCGCACCAAAATGGAAATAACAGAAGGAGGAAGCAAGCTAAATAAAGGGGGATAATTTGGTGTCTGAGGTAGCATTATGCCAAGAAGTCATAAAATTTCTCCAGTTACATAATCAGTAGCAAATCATGTTACTTAGGTTAATGGCTTTGAAAATAGTTTTACTAACAGAGCCTTCAAAACCTCACTAGAGAAGTTTTAGATGAAGATAATTTATACAAAATACTTCCCAACACTCCCCCTCTTTTCAACTCAGGAAGAAATACTTCAACCGTGACTAGAAGTGGTGTGAATTGACTTAATTTCCTGCACTACTCACTGTTCATTGTTCAAATATTTTTACATGGGGATTGACACAAAAAAAAATATCCCTCGCTAGAAATAGACAAGAACCCAATATCTGGGAATAATGTTCATTTTAAAGACAGAGAAGAACATTGTGAAATCTTCTAATCTTCCCATCTAATACAAAACCTTGCTTTAAACAGAATCATAGAAAATGTCCATATCTTTTGGCAAACAAATTTGTCCTAAATGCATCATACTCAAAAGGTCCTAAGCCAAATTCTCTGTACCTATAAATGGCCACTGTAATTGATTGGAGAACATAAGTTTGGCTGTCTCTAAAATTAAATCACTTATAAAGAAATAATACCCAGTATCAGTTTACATAAACCAAACCACAGACACAATGCAGGACAGTCTTTTAGAGAGTCTCAGTCATCAATCTAAACTTATAAATTCCAGTGAAACAAAATAACAAAAACCAACTTGAAGAGGATTCTCAGAAATTGTGTTTGAAATTCCTCTAAAGTAATTTCTGTCTACCAGAGGATGCAGCAGCATTCAGAAAAAGGAAAATTCATCTCCTTCCAATTTAATGGTGGCGCTCAGTTTCCCAGTGCACTAGTGTTGTCATCCAGTCTTTTGGTAGCATGAGGGGCGTTGATGAGTTTGCTGGCCTAGGATTTATGTTTGTCTTCTCAGCAGGTAATGTATGAGACAGTCACTTCTAGATAGACCTGACCAATACTTTCTATAGAAACATTTGTATTAATGACTTCTGAGCTCTTTCATCATACAGCGTACCCAAAAGGAGACCTGGCAGGACAGAACATTTAGATTAAATGATGTCAGTTTGAAGAGTCAGACCAAGAGGGTTGAAACCACTGCTGCCTAAACTATTACTCTTACAGAATGGTAATATCTTATTTTTAGAACATTGAAGCATGTCTCACCCTGCAGCTCAAGCAGCACTTTAATAGTTATTAATGGCAGCTGTCAGGTATGCATCTATTGACCAAGAATGAGTCACACTGGCCCTACTAGAAGGCCCAGTTAGCTAGAAATCTGTGGTGCTTTTTTTGCTTATTTTCTTTTATTTTCTTTTTCTCCTTATTTTTATTTCAGCAGCTCATTCTTCTGTATGCAGTACGATAGTGAAATATCAGAGTGTTTATCTGCAGTAGCCATTAGGACAAGCTAATGAGCTTGTTTTGGAAATACAAGCAGGTCATCACCTGTTTTGTCAGTAAATAATAATGTTAAGGAGGCAATTTCCATCCCTGTAGGTACTCACAGGTTAATTTAGAAACTACCAGCTTTTAATTAGTAGTGCAGCCAGCATACTGTGTGGCAAAATCTTGATAAAAACCTTTCAATTTGTTAGGAAGATAGAGAAATAAATTAAAAATATTCCTCTCCTCCACTAAATAGTGTTTTGAAGATGTCTTACCAATATGATTGACATTAATGGTTAAAAGGTAATAATTTAAAATTCTATATCACTTTTTCTCCCCAAATTAAATTACTTTCAGACACATTTCATTTTCATCAGGCTGCAATATTTGCATAGGTTTGAAAAATCAGCTGCTGTAACTGTCTTACAGTAATTAGTACAAGCATTTAATATATGCTTTTCCAGGCAAATAAGGCAACTACAAATAGTACAAAATCTGCAACAGTGCCTATGAGCCTTCATGATCAAGCAAAGTCTGCTGGTTTTTGGCAGGAAAGGTCTGCAAGGGCATGGCAACTGCACAGAAAATCCAGCCCATCCAGCCTGCCCGTTGAACAAAGAGACAGATACAGTGTAGGTCTGCATCCTTTATTTCAGAATGCAATTAAAAATCCTGGCCCTTGCCTAAAAGGTCTGTCAGAGAGAAACTGCTCTGAAGAGATAATGACACTGACAGAGCCAAGAGGAGAGGTCTCAGGAGATCAAGCTGAAGCCCAGAGGGAGTAGACTTTTATGACTGAAGACACTCCTGCCCATGCAGGGTTTGTCTAATATTGCTGTTTTCAGGTCACCATTTAGGCCATATAATTGCAAATGCCTTTGAAGTAATAAAATGGCATTCTAATGAGTGAGAAAAATGAAGAAAGAGAAGTGAAAATGACAGTGGAGGAAAAGAGAGAGAGAGGAGACAGAGAGAGAAATAAATAAATGAGGGAGTATGAAGTCCATTTGTCCCTAGTATTCTACTAACCTTAGCACAAATTCCCTACTAAGATGATCTGATAGATTGTACATTCCTAAATATATTAGCAGAGACAAAAATCTGCCTGGCCCATAGACCAGCACATAGTCACTTATTGTACAGTAGACAATGTCCAGTAAAGTGTAAACAAAGTGCACCAGTCTCTGGATGTGAGCATATGCTATTTTCTCTCCTGATAAACCAGGTGATGACCTGCTCAACCTGGAATGATGAGCTCCCCTGAATGACCAGATTGACTTCTGCGCCTGGCTTGTCCTCACTCCTTCACTGGCGCTGCTTGCTATTGAGCCAGCTTCTTCTCTGAACATGGTTTAAAGCAAAGCAATCTCCTTCCAGTCTCTGCTTCTGCTCATTAAGCCAGAAGTCCCAAATAGGATTCACTTTTCCCACTTGAGAGCTTTGGAAAGAATAGGCAATTATATTACAGCTCTCCTGCTTGCCAGCCTCGTTTTGTCTACATGCATGTCCCAATCTATTTGTTTTAGCTAGCCAGCTGTTTTGTTCTAGCTCTCTGGAAGTTTCTTGGTATTCCACATCCAGAAATATGGCTGCTGCATGCACTTATGGCCTCTGCCCCCTTTTTCTTCAAGATTATGACAGTTAATATGAAAAGTAGTGCTTCTACCTTGGAACAGTCTTTGATGAATTACTAGTAATAACCCAACATTTAATCCCAAAAATTGAGCTACCTGTCAAGTTTGTCTGCAAAGCAATTTCTTTAATTTCCATTGATAGTCCTCTTCTAACAGGGTGATCTCCCCCAGATCAATATCAGCTTAGATGTGATTTGGCTTTGTGATCTCTAGGGGCATTAGCTTGTCCACTTGCTGCACCCAGGATATTTCATCTTGTTCTAAGGTTTCAGCTGAACACAAAGCATCAACAAGGTAGGTGTTTTTACTGGCTTGCCTCTGGAGCTGCATCCTGGATGGCAGCTGTGGAACATCAGCACACAATCCTAATTTCAATAACTTGTCTTTCCAATGAGTCTGTGGTGTGCCATTCTTATATTATCCAGAAAAAGTCCCTTGGCCTTGGTACATTGCTAGGTCATGCATTCTTCCTGCCATGCTGTGATTCAATTATCTTTTCTCAGGAATTCGTGTTTAGAAAATTTCTCCTTTAAGCAAAGATGTGTCTGAAATGCTTTGGTAAATGAGAGCATAAAAGGCATTCCTTACCTCTTCATTGTGTGGGATGGTCTTCTGGTTTGTCACAAAGCTCTGTACAGATCATCTGCTTATAAATTCAAGAGGAAATGCTTGCTTTCCTTTTGTAAATATCTTTTTTTTCAAAGTAGGAGAGTTTCTCCACAACAGCTGCTACAGTTCTTAATTGAGATAAATAGAAGATGTATTTTTTTCTTAGGTTTATGAAGGCTTGAATGAGTTTTTGTGAATTCAATATTCTTTCCATTTCCTTTATTTCATTTGTGACTTAAGGATAGGTAGCTGCTCCTGGTATTATTAATTTATATTGTCAGGTTTTTGAGCCACTTATTTTTTATGTTTTGTAACAGTCTCCACCATGGGCACATAGGTCTGATCCTCATAGCAAGAATATATCTGAGGAACCTTGTGACAGTTTCAAAGAGTGGGGTTGCAGAATTTCCTAGACAATGGTAATTAAGCCCTTATTTCTTATTGGAATTCAAAATTCCTGATTTCTTACTTCCACAGAGAGAATCAAGAAAAAAATCTAAAAAATCAGGACATCAAATTTCAGGAAAAGCCAGCAATCCTGGTAAAAC